TATGCCCCCCTCCTCCCCCCCCCCCCCCCCGCATTCACTGAAGCAGCGAGAACCACAGTAACCTGCTCCACAGCTCTCTCCCAGCCCACTGTGCGCAGCTTCTCTGCAGCAGCAGGAAGCAGAGCACACTGGCTCCAGGGTGCTCCACTTCCCACCACTGCAGAGAAGTAGGGTGCAGTGAGCCAGGAGAAGGTGGTGTGATGGGGCAAGGCAGAGCAAGTTGCTGGGCTGCTCTACCTCCCACCGCTGTAGTCAATGCAGGAGGGACCCCTGCTACTGCTCTGCACCCATCCTGTGTAATCTTCTGACTCACAGAAGGGGCAAGATGAGGATAGAGCAGAGGCAGGACAGATTGGAGAGCAATGGCAGGGTCTGCATGGGGAGTTGCCCTGCCCAGGATACTGGAGGATAAGGTGGGTGAGGTAATATCTTTGACTGGACCAACTTCTGTTGATGAAAAGAGAAAAGCTTTTGGGCTTACACAAAGCTCTTCTTCAGGTCTTTTATTATATCATTACTTCTATTGATGTACTTATGTGCAAGGACCCTAAGTTTTGGTGTTTATTGTTAGTAAACTGGGTTATTCTAAGGAGTAAACACTTTTTTTTTATAAAGTCTGGCCTTAAAAATAATTTGTATTACCTAAAACAGTGACACCCCTCTCCCAAGCCACTTCACTCCTTTGATTAACTCTGGGCAAGTAAGCGACCCCTGGGGCCTGCTGGGCATCGCTGCAGCCCCGCACTCCTCAAGCTGAATTCCTAGTGTATGTGCGGTGTGGGGACATTTTAAAATCCACCACAGCACCTCAGAAATCATTGTTAGCACGTTATGGAAATTTTCAATGTGTATTTTTGCTTCAATTGGGTTTGGCTGCATTAATACCCTAAGAATCCCTAGACCTAAAACAACATTTGACACCAATCCATAGCTCTACACAAGACTGGTATTACTAGGCCCACTGCACGAGAGAGGAGTTTGGGTGTGGATGGGGTCCAGTTAATGGGAGTACTCAAGATGTTACACATGGTAACTTGTAGTAGAGACACATTCCATGCAGGTATAAGAGCAGTTCCCTTTCCACACCTGCTAGGCAACATACAGGAGCCACAACCACGTGGAAGATATGCAGGCTACACAGATGGGACGTGCTGCTGGTGAGTATGTGGCTCAACAGAACAATCCTACCCTGAGTTCTTTTGCTAAGAGTGTTAAAAATCCCATATACTGTTACGTGGACCATGAAAAGCCAGGCTTGAGCAAAGCATAATAATAGCAACATGTTGTTTTTTGTAAGTATATCTCAAGCAGGAAGCCTGTTTGAGACAACCAGTGGGGCCCTTGGATAATCAAGATGCTAAAGGCGCACTCAAAGATGATAAAGTCATTGCGGAGAAGCTTAATGAATTCTTTGCTTCAGTCTTCACGGCTGAGGATGTTAGGGAGATTCCCGAACCTGACACATTCTTTTTAGGTAACAAATCTGAGGAATTGTCCCAGACTGAGGTGTCATTAGAGGAAGTTTTGGAAAAAATTGATAAACTTAACAATAATAAGTTATGGGACCAGATGGCATTCAGCCAAGAGTTCTAAAAGAACTCAAATGTGAAATTGCAAAACTATCAACTGTGGTTTGTAACCTATCCTTTAAATCAGCTTCTGTAGCTAATGAGTGGAAGATAGTTAATGTGACGCCAATATTTAAAAAGAGCTCTAGAGGTGATCCTGGAAATTACAGACCAGTAAGTCTAACATCAGGACCAGCCACATTAGTTGAAACGAAATAGTCAACATGGTTTCTGTAAAGGGAAATCATGCCTAACTAATGTACTAGAGTTCTTTGAGGGGATCAACAAACATGTGGACAAGGAGGATCCAGTGGGTATAGTGTACTTAGATTTCCAGAAAGCCTTTGACAATATCCCTCACCAAAGGCTCTTAAGTAAAGTAAATTGTCATGGGGATAAGAGGAAAGGTCTCTTCATGGACTGATAACTGGTTAAAAGACAGGAAACAAAGGGTAGGAATAAACAGTAAGTTTTCAGAATGGAGGTAACTAGTGGCGTCCCCCAAAGGTATGTTCTGGGACTAATCCTATTCTATTTATTTATAAATGATCTGGAGAAAGGGGTAAACAGTGAGGTGGCAAAATTTGCAGATGATACCAAACTGCTCAAAATAGTTAAGACCAGACCAGACTGTGAAGAGCTTAAAAAAGATCTCACCAAACTGAGTGATTGGGCAACAAAATGGCAAATGAAATGTGATGTTGATAAATGTAAAGTAATGCACATTGAAAAAAATAATCCCAACTATACATATAATATGATGGGGACTAATTTAGTTACAACTACTCAAGAGAGAGATCTTGGAGTCATTGTGGATAGTTCCCTGAAAACATCCACTCAGTGTGCAGCGGCAGTCAAAAAAGCAGACAGAATGTTAGGAATCAAAAAACAGGAGAGAGAGTAAGGCAAAGAATATCTTATTGCCTCTATATAAAAGCATGGTACATCTTGAATACTGCGTACAGATATAGTCACCTCATATCAAAAAATGGCATTGGAAAAGATTCAGAAAAGGGCAACAAAAATGATTAGGGGTTTGGAACAGTTCCCATATGAAAAGAGATTAAAAAGACTTGGATTTTTCTGTTTAGAAAAGAGGAGACCAAGGGGAGGATATGATAGAGGTCTATAAAGTCATGACTGGTGTGGAAAAAGTGAATAAGGAAAAGTTATTTACATGTTCCCATAATATAAGAACTAGGGGTCACCGAGTGAAATTAACAAGTAGCAGGTTTAAAACAAACAAAAGGAAGCTTTTCTTCACAAAGTGCAGTCAACCTGTGGAACTCCTTATCAGAGGAGGTTGTGAACAGGTTAGGACTTGAACAGGGTTCAAAAAAGAGCTAGATTACCGGTAATTCATGGAGGTTAGGTCCATAAATGGCTATTAGCCAGGATAGGTAGGAATGATGTCCCTAGCCTCTATTTGTCTAGAAATGAATGACAGGAGAGGGATCATGTGATGATTACCTGTTGTGTTCACTCCCTCTGGGGCATCTGGCATTTACCACTGTTGGCAGACAGGATACTGAGCTAGATAGACCTTTGGTCTGACTCAGGATGGCCGTTCTTATGTTAAAGCATAATTCTACAAAACTTCTCTTTTGCATTCTTTCCTCTGCCTTTTAAAAGAGACAGACCTGGCCATAGATTCACTAATATAATTCCCCAGTCAGTAAACACACTGGCTGTGTCTAGACTGGCCAGTTTTTCCGGAAAATCACCCACTTTTCTGGAAAAACTTGCCAGCTGTCTACACTGGCCGCTTGAATTTCTGCAAAAGCACTGACTTCCTACTGTAAGAAATCAGTGCTTCTTGTGGAAATACTATTCTGCTCCCATTCAGGCAAAAGTCCCTTTTGTGCAAAGCTTTTGCGCAAAAGGGCCAGTGTAGACAGCTCAGATTTGTTTTCCGCAAAAAAGCCCCGATCGCGAAAATGGCGATCAGGGCTTTTTTGCAGAAAAGTGCGTCTAGATTGGCACGGAAGCTTTTCCGCAAAAAGTGCTTTTGTGGAAAAGCGTCCGTGCCAATCTAGACGCTCTGTTTCGAAAATGCTTTTAACGGAAAACTTTTCCGTTAAAAGCATTTCCGGAAAATCATGCCAATCTAGACACAGCTGCTATGTTTAGATCAAGAACAATGGTGATTCACTCTACAAATGTTTCTAAGTGATATATTTTTAGGTTATATTAAAAACCCTTTTCTTTTCAGTTCCAATAGGTAATTGCTTGGTACTGTTATATTCCCACTTATTTTAAATAAAATAAGAGTGGTTGGCTGATAATTAAATGTTGAGAGAGTAGATCTGTATCAACCGCTGAAATCAGCAACTGTCATTTTTTCATAAAAAAGCAAAAGCCTTTTTAATTTGTGATATTCAACATCAGCACTACCACAATTTAAACATATTTATGTCCTCCAGTTCTTAAAAAGAATGAAAAAGTATTCCATTCCTGTAAAATAACCTCATCACACATTTTATTCTTAAAAAATGTTTATTTTTCAACATAGTACAAAAATACAGTACAATGTTAGGCAAGACATTCTCCAAAAAAAGGGGGGAGAGGGGGAATCCCCATTATGCTTCAATATAATCTATCTTCTCTGAATAAAACAAAAGATGAACACACAATAGACGGGACGCTTCAATCTGAATGCAAGTGAAGTCAATTCACAAACAGAGATTACCTACTAGAAAAATATGTGCAGAGTGAATATTCCACATGCTACTCTTAGAGATTAATGAAAATAACTCTACTTTCATTAGCATTCATGGCAGAATTATTAGTTTGTTTGTTTTTTGGCTTTTCAGAATGGAGCAGGCTTGAGTAACATCTTCTACTCACAAGTATCCTTACTGAAATCAAAAGGATGATTGACTGTCACTCAGACATGGGGAAGCAAGCACTGATCAGAGATCTAGCGTTGGCTATTTGAAAACATAAAATTCATTCCTCTTAAGAAGAGGGTAAGATCTAGGCCTCTGGATACTAGTGGTCATTGTTTACATGGATGAAGATTACATATTCATTCAAGATGAGGTTGTGTATGCATGTATATCAGCTGTAAATAAGCACTGAAGTGCAAACTAGAGGAGCAGGAGAAGATAACACAGCATTTGATAAAAGTATGTGAAAAATCAGATAGTGTTTAACCTTACAAGTTATTGAGAGGAGAATTATGTCCTTCCAGTGCATCTACATTTCTTGGCATGTTTTAACAGATTAAAAGAAAAAAAATCATTTATCCTTTCAGAGCTTCAGGATGATGGAAAAAGCAATGTTCTGTTTATTTATTATAATTCATCTCCAAGATGTTTTTGTTTGAAAGCATCTCCTGTCAGCTTCTCCTGGGCTTCCTTCATTCCTTGGACAACTGTCAAATTAAATATATAAGACTATCAGGTGGGTCATCACTACGTATGACATGGATCAAGTAAGAAAGTGATAAAATATTTATATCAATGGTTCAATTTTATAGACTAAAAAACTTGGAAGTTGCCTGCAAAAGAAAAAAAAGCAAGGGTTATGCTCTTTTTGACCTCTATATGAGGTATAAAGAATGTGTTAAATATCTCTCATTTCCACACCATTTGTAAATTCACATCTCATCTACTCTGTTTTTGTTGGCAGGCTCTATGGATAAAGAACTAGCAGGATTATGATATCAAATAATAGGCACGTGATACCTGAAAATTTGAGAGAAAAGTGATTTTTAATCACTCACCCAATCAATTTATCTGTATTTAAAGTTCAACACCCCCGTAGCAATCTGCATCTTTAAGACACTCTCCAGTATTATCAAGAAAGGCAAGTTTTGATATCCCTAACATTTCTAAAGTAAAAGATAACTTTTTTTAAACAAAATCTTGTATAAAGGTTGAGTGGTTTTGTTCTTTTAAAAAGTCAAAACTCAATAGAAACTTATTTTTCTGTTTTATGGTCACCTTTAAGAAAGAATAAGGCTTTCCCCATCAGCCATTCTACTATGGTTTATTATTTCAAAGGCAGTTTGGTGTTACTTTCTTTGGACACCTTAGAAAAATCTCTTCCAGGACATTTAGAAGGATTTGAGGGTTTTTTTAATTCAGAGTATCATCAGAGAGATTTCCTCTGCTCTATCATGCACAAAACACATTGTCACAGCTCTCGGTCTTGTTGGATCTCATCGGCATGGGTGATCAGAGGACATGAACTGTTCTCTTACAGGTGGCCTCTCAAGGGTTGAGGTAAACAAATGGGTGGAGATGGGGTACAGCTTTACATGCGGTTTTATGGATACCTGCGACTCAGTCTCCAAGACAACCAACACATCACTGTTTTCAGATGCTGCAATGTAAAAATGTACCAGTACACTGCATAGTGAGCAAAGTGTATTCTAAAAGCGGAGATTAGTGCAAGTACTTGCTCCTGCCATGATGCTAATGTGACTGATGATAGGTCTGGTGAACCCTTAGAGAGGTCTTCCCACCTCCTCTCCCCCGTTTTCTTCATTTCTATCAGCCTCCAAAGAACAAAACTCTTACTTTTCCCAACTGATTATTTTAGGACCATGTCTACAATCTCCCACTAGATCACCTCCACTGCTGTTAGCAATTTTAGAGTCATAATGTCATCTGGTACAGCTGTAATCACTGAGTCAATCAGACCTCATTCTTCTTCACATGGTTAGAGGACATGGTTCATAGAAGGCAAGCAGCAACTGGTCTATACAAGGGCTCCAAAAGTTGCTGATATTGATAGAGTTAGGCTGGCAGAATATTTTTGAAAAAAAAAAAAAAAAAATCCCTAGAGTAAACAGGGCCCAAGATATTCATAGTTAGTTATTTCCTGATTTGAGAACAGAGAATTGTTAAGTAACAAGCTTATATCACACATAACAGAGCAACACTGCTTATAGTTAGGACCAGGAACAAATGACTATTTAAAGGCCTTATTGAAGAGACAGAAATTAATTCTTCCATGAGGTTGCCTTCTTACAGTTGTTTGAAAAATAAGTACACAAGTGGAGAAGCATGACCATTTACGACAGAAGTAACAGGTGGCTATGTAACATCAAAGGCTGAATTTTAAATTACCAGAAAGGCTTTTATTTCATCATTCTATAACAGAGGTCTGTCCATCCAACCTCAAGGCACAAAAAAGCCATTCATTTACCTTATCTGTAACAGCTTCCAAGTTGTGCTGTAAACTATAGGTCACCTCCACTCAAAAAACAAGCTCACTTTAGCTGCCATTCCTATGACCTACCTGCAATACAGGCAGTCCCCGACTTACGCGGATCCGACTTACGTCGGATCCGCACTTACGAACGGGGCTTTCTCGCCCCGGAAGTCG